CTTCCCAAATCCGACCAAAATCGTTTACAACCTACCAAATAAATTTCAATTACAAAAAAGCATTCTGAAAGCATACAATTCATTCACTCAAGATTAATAGCCCAATTCTGACCAAAATTTTTTTACTGACAAATTTAAACTTTTTCATATATTTTTCCGCAATAAAAAGTGTGACAAGAATTTATCAGTGATACAAAAGAGAGCCGTAATAGCCAAATTCTGACAAAATGACAAAATTTCTTTACTGACAAATTTAAACTTTTTCATACATATATTTGTTCGTAATAAAACCTGTGACAGGAATTCGATACAGAACTGATACTGATACTGATACAGAATAGAGCTGTCAATTCAACTGCGTGGTTATGATAATCTATGAGATGGGGAAACTTTAACAAAAGAGCTAAAATTGGTAAATCTTCTTTAGAAACTACCTTAGCTGGTGTCATTATTTGTATAAGTTTTATATCTTCACGTTTGTAATCAAATCTTAAATTTATTTGGTCAAAAAGTAAGTAATGAAAAACTTTAATATATTGATTTCAACTTCAAGGACTCCAGAACAATTGACATTACTTTTCATAAACAACACAGCTTTCGTTCCAACAAAAATGTCAGATATTTTAACATGAGTATTTTCATTTTTAAAATCAACATTAATATGTTACTGATCGCATCTTTTTTAACAAAGTTACTCAAAACTGAGAGATAATGTGCTTTGATAGTTGCATACATATAAGTATGGCAAACGAGAGCTTTCAGCTTGGAAATCGGTTTCTTCAATCAATAATGTTTTCAGCCCGCCTAAGTCTCCAGCCATAACATTGGCTCCATCAGTGCCCAAACCAATTAGGTTTCTTATTTTTAAAGGCAGGATTGGCAAATGTTTAAAAGGTACAATTGGCAAATATTTATATGGAAAATGACGTTTGAAATATATACATATTTTTATAATTAAGACTTTAAAAACTTAATTCAACTATCCGTCCAAATTTGACAAATTTTGGCGTTAAAATATGGCCATACTAGACTGTCAGATTGTCAATAATCTTCTTTTATGCCTTGGTAACATTTTAAAGAAATATTTGCGATACGCATGCAGTCTAAAGCACAATTGCCAAACAAAAGTCACATAAATCTGATAAGAAAAGCGGATAATGTTGTCCTCAAATACAATTTATGTACTCTTATGTACACACATTGAAATTTCTATGAAGTGCTGTTTTTCGAATATTAGTTATCAATAAACGTGTCAAGAGTCGTTTAATTGCACATGCTATTTATTAAGTGACTGCAACAAAGTCTAATAAAACAAGTGGCACAAACACTCATAAATATGCAGAAATCATAAATAATATAGTACGTAACAGGTTCCTAACGCCAATTATTGGTACTTTCCGTGCTGCCTGCCTCTTAGTGCTGATAAGTGCTCTATACAGTTTAGGTCGCATGCCGTACAGGCAACGTCATGGGGCAACACCTGCAGAGCCATTGAGATAAAAATTATGAGTAAGTATAGTAAAAACGCTCACATCCGAGATACAAAACCATTTTTATATTTGGCTAACTTTGTCAGTCCATTGGAATTTGGTGAGTAAGATGATTGTAATGGGAAACGACGTAGCGTCACACTCGCTTATGCGCACAGAGCAGAAAACTCTAAATACATACTATGTGTGTAGGTGTGACTGTGCGAATCCAAAAAGGCAGGAGCGATTGAGAGGACAGTTGAGCAAGCAGACACTACCCTACAAGAATTGTGTGATGGAAACTAACACATTCTCATTTATCTTACTAACACATTTGCAAATTTTGCGTTGGTTAAAAAGAGACCAATATATAAGGCCATAAGTTGGAGGAAGACGGAAGATCATATGTACACAAATGTTTACATCAGATTTTTCACACTGCCCTTTAGAATGTGATAGAAACTTGTAGGTAGCCAGTGACAGAAATCTCTATCAGCCTTGCCAGTCAAATGATTTGTCAAATGATGGTCACTGTTCTTGCAGGGTAGGTGACTTATCGGAGGCGCGCGCTGATTAGATAACTATGGCTTCGATGCAAACGCAGACGCAAGCGCAGGCGTCGCTGTTTACTTCGGCGAAGTTTGCTCTTTTTTGGCAAGATGATAGCTGACTTCGCGAAGTCAAGTAAAACGTCTACTGACGTCGAAGCCAACGCCAACGGTAGGCGTCGTTGATTTCCATACCCGTTTAACCAACAGAAGCGATTTCTTTATCTTATCTTGCCAATATTAAAGTTGCGCTGCCGACAGCAGCTGATTCTAGCAAAGCCATACATATGCTACATATAAAACGTGCACAGTTCGTAACGATCATGACAAAGCGCAGCGAGGCCCAAAAGTATATGGAACAAAATATCAAGCAAGAAGCAAGCAATCGGAATAAGGCAATTGATATAAAGAAACTCGACCTGTCCACGCGAAGAGATAATTGTGAAATTGCGCAGATAAGCTGTAAACTCAAAATTAAGTGCAAAAATCGTTAACAAACACGGATAATTGTGTGCTATATAACGTGTTAGAGATACAAGAAAGAATCATGTTAATAAATTATAAATGTTTTTGGCTGATATTATTCGCAATATTTTTGAACATAATGGTGATAGTAAGCACAAATGCACCTTTGCCGGTTAGAAAAGCCCAACTAACCGGCATGAGTCCAAGGGCAACACTAGGATTCTTTGAAAATCGTATCAAATTTGAAAAAACACAGATGTGGACACCAAAGCTACTTGCTAAACGTGAAGCCGCCCCACATTCCGCACCATACATCGTTTCCATTCAGCGCATGACACCCGATAACGGACTTGTCCACTATTGCGCTGGCACCATCATCAACGAGCATTGGATACTAACTGCAGCTCACTGTCTCACTTCGGACGAGGTTGTGGAAAGTTCGCTCATCGTAGCTGGCTGTCACGACATAAATGGCGCTGATGAAGGTGATTGCGTACAGGTGCGCGCCATCGATCACTATGTGCGCCACGAGTTGTACCTGGGCGGCATCAATCCATATGACATCGCGCTCATCTACACCAAAAGCCCGTTGCAATTTACACAACACGTTCAGCCGGCGCAGCTGCCAGAGCAGGATGCGATGCCAGTGGGTAGCGGCACACTTTATGGCTGGGGCAACATTTCGATGACTTTGGTGCCCAACTATCCACATCGTCTGCAAGAAGCCGATATGCCCATATTAGATATGAAATTGTGTGAACGCATTTTGGCTGCAACAGGTTTGCAGCTGCACGAAACAAATTTATGTACAGGACCGCTGAATGGTGGTGTTAGTATTTGCACTGCCGACTCGGGTGGCCCTCTGATGCAACCGTGCTGCAACGGCTATGAGGACAGTTACACAGTCATTGGCATAGTGTCGTGGGGTAGAATGCCTTGCGGGCAGAAGAATTCACCTTCAGTATTTGTACGCGTTTCAGCATTTACCAAATGGATTCGTGATATCATCTCGTCGTCAGCGCCAAACAAGTAAATTGAAAGGCTGTCTAGGATCCAAGGAGAGAGAGAATTGAGAGTGCTGGAAAGCTGAGGACTGAATGCAATAAAGGCTTTTAAATGTGGTGACTGAACACACAGAGCTGATTTGGTGTACACGAAATCTCATAGTTTTTAATTATTTGTATGATTGTAGTGTTAAGCTTAATTTATTAGTAAAATATTTATTTAAAAAAAATTATTGTATTTTAAAAATAACTACTTTATACTATATGCAAATTTACTATACGTTTTAAATGTCATGTTACATACATGGTCACTAACACAAAAATCAGACCAAAGAAAACTTAAAATGCGTTTAACGACAAACATCTAAAGAATTTAAACAAGTCTCAAAGAATAAAAAAATACAAAATGTCTCGAAAAATAATTAGGTCTAACAATGTACACAAATAAATACACACAAATATACAAGAATGTACTTATAAAAAATAAATGCATCACTTATTATTTACCAGTTTCGTGAAACATTTCCAAAGGGTACTACGTTTTAATAAAATTAGTTCGTATATGAAAAGAAATTTGAAGCCATGCTCCTATGCTCATAGGGGCCTTGAAAAAAGACCACATGAAACCAGGATTATTTAATTGAGGCCGGGCTTATTGATGCGTAAATTTGAACCATACTGATTCGTTTAAATACGCGATTCGAGAATGTTTGCACGCAGTTTCGGCGGAAAGGCAGCTAGCTATCAAGTCAAAATCGGCTAATTTAGAGGCGATTATACCAACAAAATGAGCATAAATTTATGAAAAGTATAGGAGTTAGGTCATCAACGTTAATGGCGGCAACTATACATCTTACGAAAGGAATTACAAATTATAACATGCATTTTATTGAGTAAACCCAGTAGATATTCTCGGGGGCTTAAAGCCCTTTCAAAAGGCCTGCCTTCGTTTCTCTTTTGTGTGGTGTGGCACAAGTTGAAGACCTTCTGCTTCCGTTAAACATAGAAGATCTTTCAAGGCTAGAAGAAATGAATGCAATATAATTGTGAAATTATAAAAATCATATAGTTTTTAGGTATCTGTTTAATGTTCATATCAAGTACGTTTTACTGCCTTTTTCACCTTATTCAGCCCTTGTTGGATAAGCCTTTTAGAATGGCTTCACTTAAGAGGGTCTACCTACATACATACTATGTACCTAAAGGGGTATGTATTAGATGAATATTTAAAAAAGAAACACCAAATTTTCCGAAAAAAAAATTTAAAAAAGGCCTTTCGCACCCTTTGATACCCTTTGCGACATATACAGTGGTGGGAAAATAAATAGGGACACGATATTTTAACAAATTTTTCCTATTTTTTCTTTTATTTATTTAAGATTGATTTTTTTATAAAAGTATCAATGCAATTTTTAGCAACTTAAAATTAACACTTCATTCTACTAAAATTTAGTGGGCGTAAAACTACATACTCAGAAAAATTGTAAAAAATCTATTTGTAAAGTTAGATGCAATTTTGCAGAATTTTTATAATTTTTGCACAAAGTTTGGAATATGAATTTATATGGTTTTTGTTAGAAAAAAAAAAATTAAATAAACGAAAGAAAAATAGACAAAATTTGAGAAAATGTCGTGTCCCTATTTATTTTTCCACCGCTGTAAGTAAAATTTAACCCCTTACCTCCAATCATTGACTCTCTTTGGAAAAAGATTACTACAGTGGCCATTATATGGTTAAAATGTTTCACAAAAAATAAACGGAGGGTTTACCGAAAGAAACCAAAATCCGATAAACAAGTCCTAGTTCGCTATACGGCTTAGTCGAAATTTGGGGTAGTGCGTTGCCGCTAAGTAAAATTCTCTTTTCAGCACTGTTTAGAATTACCATTTTAAATTAACTTACATAGAAATTCATTAAAATAAGGGTAAAATGGTTCGATTAAGCGCTCGAATTCGACTAACCGTCCACTTTCGACTAACCACTGACTATCGAGTGGTCTGAAAATCTGCTAACCGAAATTATTTGAATAGTGACAGTTTTTCACAATAAAATTATTGTTATTATCGCGGTCGGGGGTTTGGTCAATAAGCAAAAGTAATAAAAAAACGACGCTTACTGAAAGAAAATAGCTAGTCGATAATGAACAGTTAAATAAACAATTGCGTACTATTATTGGAAGTCTCCTGAAGAGAAACAGAGTCTTCGGATTGAAAAGTATTGATTTTCAAAAATTCCATACCAGTTCTACGAAAAGTATTTTTCCCCATACAAAATACATGGAAAACTTTGAGCGCTTTGAGGGACCTCTAACAATTTTTTTATTAAAAAAAAACAAAAAAACTGGGAATCCATTTTTATCGGTAAAGAACAATCCTTGGGGGTGAGACCATTTAAATTCTGACTTTGATTTTTTTTTGACCACCCTAATTTACATATATAGTATGTATGTATGTAATATGTAGTCCGCTTGGAGGTGATTGAACTGTACCCAACATCGGCTGCTTTAATATTGTGAAATATAATTAAAAAAAAAAAAAAACATGATTTCACATCCAAAAAGCTGGCGCCAATACCGTACTATGAATTAGTCATTTTGTCAAATTACGCCGCCATCTTCTGCTTATCGAAAACCAGGGCAAAGTACAAATAAATTTGGTCTAGTGTGGTTAGATAATGCTAAAAACCACAGCGGGGATTTTACATTTCAATGCCGGAGAGCGAAAAGGAATGCCGCGACGATATTAAGTAGCAAAAATGCTACTGCCGCATGACTTTTAAAATTAAAATCAAGATAAAGTTAAAACGCAATCAAGTAGCGGTTGGTAATCAACCGTGAAGCAATGGATTTACCATAAAGGGCGCTCAAAACGAGATTGTTATAATTAATAGGTCCCTACAAAAAAATGTAAGCATATTGTTTGTTGCTTAATAAAATGAAATGTAAATGAGACTTAATTATCGAAATCTAAAATACATATGTATGTATTTGACATGTATATGTCTGCTAAGATGAAGTTTGCCCAGAGCACGGGAGTCTCGAGCTTATCTTCTACGATTAGTATCACTTATTTTCTTTATTTATATCTGTAGATCATCGTTTCTAAGAATTGTTATATGCCTCTAAAAGGTGGCCATTTACAAAAATAAATAGACCACTGTTATATATGTATGAATGGTAACCTCCCAGCAGGAACTATTAAACTTCGATTTTATTTGATTAGAGCTAACGCTAGTATCCTTTATGATGTGATCATATTGGCACCGGCTTTGATGAATTTCGTAACCCATCCATTGAAATTATTTGCATGCAATCACATGGATCAATGCCATATAAGCTAACGCAGAAATATTCTCAAAAGCTTTCGAGCAACTTTATCAAGTTTTACTTCGAGAATTCCTCGTGATTCATACACGCTTTTTTTTAATTATGTACTTTTGATTAAAAAATAAATGTAAAACTAAAGTAGGTAATACTACATATAACTGATAATCATTTACTTCAATGGCATTTTAAGTGTATTTCAGATAAACGGAATATTTCTGTCAATTGCTTTACTAATGTAAATATTTTCATTCATTGAGCCTAATGTAAGTAGAGTATCGTGAATTCCTCTATATTATTTACAAGTAAATCAGATCATACGATTTTTGACTAAAGTGGCACGTTGAAGGTTAATTTTTAATTTCACAAAATCTTCTTATCATCAGTTTAGTAAGAACATAAATATTTTGAGATTCGATTCAAATTAGACAATACACGCTTTTTCTACATAGCCGTGTTCATTAGAAAGTATTTCAAACTACCCACCACCTATGTATATCTACCAGGATACCTGCAATATCCAATGAAACTGATATGTGTAATATATTGCTCGAATTTTAAACAAATCGGTTAATAGAAACCATCTTCGACACCAGTGCCATCTAACAGACGCTGCGCAACTTTGTTCATATACACTTAGGTCTTTTTATGCGGTACATGCGTTCCTCAGAAAGACGCATAAAAAAAAATCCGCAAATCTTTACTTTCGTACAAAAAAGGGGGATGGGTTCCAGCATTTTGAAAAACCGCATAAATTCAGATACTTCATGTAAAAAAAAAAACAATTTATTTCCTCACTTCAACACTTATTCTTCAATGTAGAACTGAACATTAATGAAATAAATAAAATTGTATCTGTATTTTAACCAGAAACAAAAAAAAAATATCACAAAAAATACATGAATTATGTCAGAAGCATTTTCTCTTACCCACCGAAAAAAAGTAATAAAAATTCTCAAAAAAGCAAAATCGCTATAGCGAAGAAAGGGTTTGAAAACCCGCATAAAAAGAGACCTAGGTGTACATATATGTATAAGAATGTTTTCATAATGAAAAGATAATTCGATTTAGCCGAGTCTGTCTGGCCGCTCGTCTGTGCACACGATATGGAGTAAAAATTTAAACACATATGTACATATGGCGAATTCCAGAGAAAAGTCTACCGCGAAAAAACCTGCTATATCTAACTTATTTATAGTCTCGTTAAGTGGCTCCAGGGTCGCCGTTTGAAAAACAGTATTTATGCTCTGATTTGTTTCACATTTGGCATAATTGAACCGCTTGTGGCGCCGATGGCAAAATAAAAAGTCCATTGGACATAAAACGCATGTTTTTTCCCCGTTAAAAATTTGTTGAAGAACAATATTAGGCGTGTTTTTTTTTACACGCATATATCCGACGGTAAAGCGGTCGGCGGTAAGTGAACAGTTGTATAGTTGCCGCAATTATCACTAAAATTAAATATTTTTTCGGTACGTGCGTGTATGTAGATTTGCTGGAAATAAAAACGGTTGAAAACATTGGAAAACTTGTGAAAATAATAAAAATTACTACAATCAACATTATGCTGTCACCGCTGGGCGGTAAAATATAAATCAACCGAAAAACGTCGGCGGTAAAAACGCCGACATCGGTTAACCGTGGACCGCTTTACCGCTGCAATTAACGTATAAAACAACAAGCATCGACAATTTACAATTAAAGAAAGTAAAAAAGTCTAAGCTCGGGCGGAGCCGAACATTAAATACCCGCCGCAAGTAGTATTAAATATACATATGTTCAACTACTTTGTTAAAAACTATTTTCTTTGAATGCATATGGTTTTCTAAATTCTCAAATGCAACACGCAAATACTTAGTTATAATATTCGAATAAAATTTTGCACAGCTTAGTTTTAGTTTAAAAAAAGGTGAAATAACGAACGGTACACTAGGTCCATATGTATGTGCAGTCAAACTTACCGTAAGTACATTGTCAATAAGAAAAAATATGTAGCCGTTTCTTATCGGTTTCTAACGACTGCTTATTTTTGGACTTACAATGCAATTACAAGAAGCTTTTTGAGTATGCAAGATTATGGAACTTCATTTTTTTCGCCTTTTTTTGTGTAATCAGAGAATGTATATTTCTGCGCAATTTGTATACATACATATGTACATCAATACGCAATACGATTTTTGTGGCGAAATAAAATTTTTCGGATATCGAATAAACCGGAATATTTATCGAACAAAGAGGTTTTTCCATTTTATACAAATATATTGACCTAATTCTTTTTGCATCGGAAAGGTAGTGTCTCAGAGGTGGTCCCATACTAATCT